CCTCAGTACTGGTGAATCTGCTGTTAGGGAATGATGGGAATGGTAGGAAATTTCCTTTTCTGCATTGTTGATGCTTCCTGGTATTGCTGCCAAAAGTAAAATGAAGCAGTGTTTTGAGTGTTCGTGGATTTCCAGGTTGCGCAGGTAAAATCTGAAGCCAGAGAAGACATTATGTCCTTTGTGTCACTCTGCTCTGTAAAGTGAAGGTAAACAAGATAACATACTGTATATACACACTTCAAAGAACTTAGTGGTAATGAATCACACAGTTGAAAGCAAATCCCTGACATTAAATCTAAAGGATCCGTTCCAAATTAAACAGGGAACTTATGACGGCATATTACCACATGGAGGCGCCAACATACATATTATCGGTCTTTCCATTCTGCCAGTGTTGCCCATGTTGTTGCATTTCATAGACAGAGATGGGGGGTGATGGTGGGACATGGGTTAAATGAAGTGCAAGCACACCCACCTCACGCTGAAAAGGTCACCGTGTTCCCTGTTCTTCATGACATAGGCTGTGTTTCTCTTTGAAGAGCCGTGTCTGAGTGCTCAGAAGCAGGAAGGAGCCCTTTTATTAATCCAGGAATCAACAGCCTTTGATGGCTGGAGATGGGAACAATATGCGTGCGCACACATTTAAGCATGCACTACCATGGCTGCGTGTGATTGCGGAGTGCTTGACATAGCGGTATGATATTTCCAGCATGTAGATGTCCGTACTGTTTCTGTTTAACGGTGACCTAGATTTCTCTAGAGGAATACGCGTACAGTTACTGCATGTTGTTCACTTTGCTTTTATTGCCGCTCTATGTTTTTGCTTATGTGTGTGTGTGTTTGAGCATATGAAAGCATGCGCACATGGATGTCAGCGCCAGGATCTTTGGGTTTTACAGTTGTCGCCGTCATATTTTCAGAGGCGATGACAAGTAAGTTGCCTTTCAAAAAGTGCACCCAATTATTGTTTGGTATTTTTATTGGTACAAAAGTGTTTTAAAAATACAAATGATTGTATTTTTATGGTGGTCACACTCCACCCTGGTCTCCTTTGTGTTCTGGAGAAATGATTCCTCTGGCAGCCACAGAGTTCTAGTTCTTAGTTGGCTGGACGACAGACGGGTCAACCGGGTTTGTGGTTCTCCTCCGGAACAAGCTGCTTTTAGATGACCATTTTTTGCCAGAGACACAGAGCCTGATACTTCTTTCCCGTTACTTTAGAACTCAGCTTGTGTTAATTATATTTAACAGACTACAACTGTAATGCAAAAACACGGTTCCCAGCGGATTTGCAAGAACAGGGGACAAATGGAATATAGTGTTTTGCTGTGTTTCATTTTTTTAGCTGCGTGTTTGAACTCCCTATCAATAGCATCTTCAGAGTCAAGGTCAGTGATAGGTATACATCAGCACTCCCACTTTTAATGAGAACCTATTCCTACAATATCAGCTTTTTGATAACTTTATCAGAGTCAAAACAGCGTGGCTGTAAAAAGCAGAGCGCCATGTGTGTGGGAGATGACTGAGACAGACGTCATGGTTTCTCAAGAGGATACACACTTACTGAAACGGAGAGTCCACATCGCAGTGCCTGGTCTGGAAGATGGCTGCTGTAGGTGGTCCGCTTCCACGGGGAGGTGTGTTTGGTTGGAGAATGGTATGACATATGCCCAATAGTTCAGTGATAAAAGGCTTCAGTGTGTGTGTGTGTGTGTGTGAGTGTGTGTGTGTGTGTGCTTGTGCATGTGCATGCACGTGTGTGCGTGTGCATGCACGTGTGTGTGCATGGAAGGAAGAGAAAGAGAGATGCGGGAGTTTAGTTTGAGGTCGCCTCATGCACAGGGAGATAAAATGAGCGACTGCTGTTCTCATCATAACAACCGAGCTACTGGAAGAGAGGCCCCCTCTCTCCCGAAAAGGCACACAGCTGCCCTGCTCCTCGCCTGTCCACACAGGACATTTCTCCTAAGAGTGCGCGATTGAAGTTTGAGAATTCTGATAGAATTCCTTGCCCTTTTTCCCATATCCGCGATTCGCTCGGCTGATTTTGATCCGCTGCTATAAGGTTTAAGTTGCCTCTAATGTTTTTCTGCACAATTTCACAGCGGGCCAAGCGACGAGGCTAAATATTTCATCGAGCGGTTGTTATTTTGTAGGACCAGGCCAAAGCAAACTTAAGACTGCTGAAGAATGTAATCATTTATCTAAGGACCAGGGGTGACATGCTCAATTTGGCCTAAAATAGGGCTCTATGTAGCCCACAGGGACAAGGGTGTGCATGAGTGCATGTGTACTGTATGTTTTGGTGTGTGCGTTTGGCCAACAAGGCCACTGAGTCCCAACAACCAGAGGCCACAAAGTTTGTTTTCATGTATTTCCTCCTTTATTTCTTGCATTTTGTTACAGAGTTAAGTCTCAAATAATCTGTCAGCCTTGACCAAGAATTGTGTATTTGTTGCTTTGACTTGCGTGCACTTACATCCCAGTTAAGTGAAGTAAATAAAAGCACTTCTTTGGTCCATTCATTTCAAATGAGAGAAACATGAAAGAATGAATGGAGCAACCCATATACCCCTCCCTTTTCTCACAGTGTCCATCCTAAAATACCATCAAACACACCCATGGCAATCATGAATTACTGGGAACTTTATCTAAGTCTGGTAGTGTGAAGCTTTCCCATCATTCCCTGAAGGCTCTAATGTTTCTATCGGTCGTGGACTAACCTAGCAGAGCCTTTAGCTTGGTTGTGTAATGACTGTTATTAACCTATCAAGATCAGCCGAGGGGTCTTGGCTGCGTTTTCCAGCCCCTTCTATCACTTTCCCTCAAATTCCAAAACCAAGATGGCTCCCTTAAAGCCTCACTCTTGCCCTCCAGGGAGCAGAAAACACCAAAGTCGAGTCTAATTGGATTCATTTGTAAAATAGCTGCAGAGATTTGAACATTATCTATCTATGCACCCATGACTGGAATGCAACTTTTTTTTACCCTGCCACTTTTGCAGTAAAACTGTGGTCTCTTGGTGGCCCGGAGGGCTTTTGAAAAATTGGAATCTCATGTTCATTAAACAACGAATCCCTTTTGTTGTACGACGGTGAGGGTTAGGCTTACAAGCCCTGATCTGAGAATGGATCACTTGGGTCAGTTGTGTTATTAATTCATTGCAGCGGTGAGGGAATGGGACACTTTGTCTGTTGAAAGCAAAAACCTACTAAAGAAGAAGAACGTAATCTTTTTTTTCATGATAATCATATTAATCCAGAATTCAAGGGAATATCAGATGTGCTTGTACAAGTCCCTGTCACCATATTAACATGCATTATCACCAGATGTCCCTTTGAAACTAATTTGTAGACCTCTGGAGTCTCATTGCATGGCACTGTATCCTGCTCCAGCTGCATCTGTTAGTGTTTTGTTTTGGTACAGCTCAGAGCGTTTTGTGTTTGTGTGCTTTTGTGTGTGTGCGTCCGTGCTTTTGTTCTGTTTTGCAGATGTTCATCAGATAAAGACTATTACACCACCACTTTAGCAACATGAGGTTAACTGCAAAAAGGCAGATGTCCTGCAAGTCAATGGGCTGAATTAACTCTTAGTATAAAACTACTAAACTGATAAAGTGAATGTTGTTAATGCCACACTGTCTGTTGGACATAGATTCAAGGAATGGGAGTCGCTGTCCACTCTGCTCTCTGGCCACTTTGTTAGGTACACCTTGCTACCAGTTTGGATCCCTTTTACTTTTGGAACTTTCTCAGTTTACATTACACAAATTCAACAAGGTGCTGTAAGCATTTCTCAGAGATTTTGTTTCTTGCTGTCATGTGAGGAACCACAGTCGATCCATGGCGCAGATCTCTCATTACACCACACGTCTAAGGTGACTGTACAGGGGGCTGAGAGGGTCCAAGTGCGCCAAAAAAATATCCCCCACACCTCTACTGGCCTGAACTCTTGATAAGCACCGGGTGAACGCTTTCATGATTTTTAAGACAAATTCTGGACCGTCATCCAAATGTCACGGCAGAAATGGAAACTCATTCAGGCACTTTGCCCCCCAATCTTCTATTTTCCAGTTTTTGTGAGCCCATGTTAATTACAGCTCAATTTCCTGTTCCTAGGTGACAGGAACGGTACACGGTGGTCTTCTGCATCGTAGCCAGTCTGCTTGAAGGAGATGCTCTTTTGCATACCTTGGTTGCAACGAGTGATTATTTGAGTTATTTTGCTTTCTTGGCAGCTGGAAGCAGTCTGTTCATTCTTCTTTGACCTTTTATGCCATGGGGACTGCAATTCACTGCCCATTTTCTCTTTTTCAGATAATTCTCTGTAAACCCTAGAGATGAGACCCTAGTGGGCCAGACCCTGTAAAAGCTCAGGATACAAATACAGCAAGAAACTGTAGAAATGACAGAAAACCATCTGCAAAACCTGTTCTACACACAGTAATATAAAGAAAGAAAGGCATTTTATGTGATACAAGTGACAAGAAACACAAGAGCTGTGGTGCAGTAGATTAAAACATAGAATAATATAAGTATTCCACAGCCACAGAGAAGTGCACTGGTGTTTTTACTGTTCCAATAGACAGACATACAATAAATGTATTTGCATGCTGTGCTTCCATCTATAATTCTTGTGATGCAAACTGCTATATCGAGGCTTTCACTGCTGCTTGTCTCTGAGACGTCACATCAGAATCGATGACAAAACAGCAGGAAAATGCAGTCAGAAGCTCTACAAACGACTCAGTGTTTTGATTCCTCTTCTAGATGGGTCCCCAGGGGCCAAAAAGTATGTGTGCGGTTCATGGGTACAAACAATCTCCAGTTGTGAGCCTTCAGTTGGTTACAACTGGGTAAAAATGCTACTTAACTTTCCAAGTTTGGTCTAAACTTTTGTGTGACTCCATCAGTCATGATGAATATTTTGTGTTTGTTTAACAACAATATTCCACTGGTGGGATTTCCTTTGTTTTCACTCTCATTGTTCTTCCTCCCCAGATTGAGAACCTGCTGGAGCAGTTAAAGGACAAGGACAAACAGGTGGCTGGATTGAGGGAAAGGGTTCAGGGCCTTCAAACCGACTCCAGCAACACAGACACGGCTCTGGCTACACTGGAAGAAGCTTTATCAGAAAAGGTAAGAGTGATGGGGAAAAGCACTGTAAGTATCCAAAAAGAAAAGGTGAAAATCAACACTCAAGGATTGAGTTTCAGAGAGATGTTGTCCTGTTTGTTGCTGGATGGATGGAAGGTGTAAAGGAAAAAACGCTTGAAAAATGTGAAAGTCCGCTGGTTGGTGTGGAGTAATGTGGAAAGTTTTACCCTTTCAGGCGTTTCAGGGAAGCTACGATATGGCTTATGGTTTAATTAATTTTCATGCTTTACTGTGACTCACAGCCATAATTTAACGACATAAAATCCTAATTTATAGACTTAGGACCACATCTAGTGTGGTCTATCTGTAAGTAGTAAGGGAGAGAATGAGGGACTGGTAGAGGGGAAGTCTATGGTGAACACAGACAGAGGATTAGTCCATGTCTGTAACTGGGCCGGGCGCAGGGAGGGAATGATGTATAGAATGAGGAGGATAAAGGTTTCAAATGTAAGAGAAATGGAGCGATGGAAAAGCTGAGTGGCAGAAGAGGCACAGCCCCGATGGTAGAGGTGGCCTTAGAATTAATGGGGGGGAGAGGTCAAGGAATGCAAGGGTGAAGGCAGAGTGAAAAATGTTAGTTTTAATAAGGAAAGGAGAAAAAACAGTGCTGGGCAAATACATGGAATAGAAATGCAATAACAGATAACAAAGCTATGCACAGAGAAGAAGTCAAACATACTGTGCACATGCCATGCGATGTAAAGTCTCAGTGGGATGTAAACAGTACTTGCTGAGTGTTATTCTAATATTAGGTTTGTATCCGATGGTGCATCCTCAGTTTCTCTCCTCCTCTTCTCTTTAACCTTTCTATCACAATAAAGGCCTTCAGATAAAATAAGAAAGGACAACTGTACAGACAAATAAACACAATAATTGGGCCCAATGAAGATCTGTAATGCTCCAACATAAGACTCAGATTTGTGTATACAATAACACAACGAATAAAGCAGTTAATTAAGACAGTATTGCATGTGTCTACATGAATAGGAGGATTCAGTGTAGACATAATCATTGTGCTTAACAGCTGCCATGTGATCCAAGGTCAACCAAACAGACTTACTCCACATGGGAAATAGATGGGCTGGATGTTCGTTGTAAACACTCATTGTCTGTTGTTTTTTTTTAAATATGAGAGACCAGCTGGTCACCATGAAGCTCACCAGCACAGAGCAAGCCTGCTGCCACTCACAGGAAAAGAAAAATCACCTTGCTGGCCGATGTGCTTCTTTTCTTTTTTATGTTTAAATCTTTACACATTGAGTTAACGCTCTTCCAGGGCAAGGACGTTCCTGTAAAGAAGCTGAGAAACTGAAGCAAATGATTGCATTGAATAATGGTGTTATTTTTCTTGTCTACACAAATCTTTAGTGATTTGTTTATGGATTTGCAGTCATGGTTTAATGGTGCCAGCGATCTTTAACTGCAGACCTGCTTCAACAAAGAAAGAGTTTGATGTGAATTGCTTTACACAGCATCGCCATGGAGATGTCACATCCTGGTCTAGCAGTATATACATTCTGTCTTGAAGTGACTGGCTTGATTTCAGACGGACTTCATCTCTCCTCGCTTTGTTGCATGTTTAAAGTTGTTGCTAGCTCACATGTGTTGTTACTATAGGCTAAAGAATTATCATCTTGGCGCTGGAGGCTAAGAAATGGTTCCCATTTACATGTTTGTTTGCACAGCAGGCTTAAAGATCGATACTGGTTTACATTTCGTTGGCACTGGCTGCTGGTTAAGAGTTCACAGTTAGGACAGTTATGAATGTCCAGCTGTACTGCACTGTTATGCAGTGGATGCCACGTTTGTACCTCTGCCACTGAGCATTTGAGCCTTTGCATTTGCTGTTATATATTTCTCTGCTTGCAGGAGCAAAACTTGGAGTCCTGCATGCGATTGTACAGATTTCAAAGAGTTTTAGCTCGTATAGTAAGTGTCACTGTGGAATTATCTTTCAGGCAGTCTGTTTAGACACTGATAATGTGAAAACCAGCCTAAGTGGAATCAAATACAGGAGTGTTTGACTTCCTTTTCCTCTCTCTGTACGTGTTCTTGTTTATCTCTGTTATTTCCTTGATTGTTATTTAATTGACCTGCAGCCTTTGATTGTATCTATTCAATCAAGAAGGGTTTACAGTAAGCTCACACATTTTGTCTGTTAATAGATTAGAAGTTGGTTAATGAGGGTTTCAGTGTATTCGCAGCACACAGAGCGACACAGCACATAGATGTTTTCACTTAAAATGGTCTTTTAGCACCAGCATTTGTTTTCGTTGCACATAGCCTTGCATAATGGCACAATAAACTGTAAATCCCTCTTCTGCGCCGGCCCATTTGTTTACCCAGAAACCACTTCTGATGCAGCCTACATATTATTCAGCTGTGATGAGGAGAATGCTGGCAAGCTTTTCAGACTTTGTGGTCAACACAGGGCGTGTGTAATGTGTTTACGAGCACGAGTGTGTGTCTTGCTGATCACAAACTCTGTCACAAACCTGCTCTTGGAGCCAGTCACTAGCCACACTGCTGTGGTTCTAATTAACAGGCTGGGGCACTGTGCCCATGCTGAGCACTGCTCTGTAGTGCATGTATGTGTGCTTGTCTATGATGTCATATGTGTGTTTTCTGTTGTTTATGTGTGCAGTACACTTGGGCCTCATAGAGCCAGATTTATTATCATACCCTGGTGTCTTTCTCTAAGCCCCAGACATCCTAGATATTCATAAAGTGGGCAGAGTCAGGACCTGTTAGCCAAGCAGTCTCTCTCCCTTGCCCTCTCCGTGTAGTGATGTACTGTGCCAGGGCTAGTTAGTGCAGTATTTGTCCAATTACCCAGGACTTTAAAGTTGCCAATCATGCGGTGATGCCACGTCGTAAAGTCTCATTGCTGAGCTGTGCTCTGCGCCTAAATAAACACCTGAATAAACACCCTGGTAATCATTTCAGTCCACACCTAAACACGCACACATTCACTTTAACACGCACACCTTGCTCAACCTCCCATGTGGTGGACTTGGTTTAAGGCCAGAGCTGTTGTCCTGCTGTCCAACGTGATTAGAGAAAGGAGCAAATGATGTTTGAGACATTGCAGCTCGGTTTATCAGCAGGCGGTGTGGTTGTTAGAGAGTGATCTACAATACTGTCTAATTCACCCACAGTAAATCTGTCTGTCCCTCAGCCCTTCTCTTCCTTCCTCCTCTTTCTGTTCTACTTGGCTCCCATCCCTTTGTGTCACTGCGATTATTTATAGCAGTATTATTTATGGTGGGCATTTATGAGTTTGTCTTTGGCCACACTTTGTAAAGAATGTTGGAGATCCTATTCGGCAAGATACTGCCGATAATGATAGGAAAAACGTATAATGGCACAGGGCTGGTAATCCTTTGCACAATGGATGGAAAACAGATTTATTTCATGTCGTTTCTGCTTCGTGTAATGAACATACTTTTGTGCAGATTTTTTCTTATTCCTACATATACTTGCCAAATCAGTTTTTATTTTACCTTCTTATACCTTCTCACTGTCTCAGGAGCGAGTGATTGAAAACCTCCGGGAACAAAAGGACCGGGAGGACAGGGTTCGGCTGGAGGAGCTGGAGCAGCTGAGAAAGGAGAACCACGAATTAAAAGACAAACTGTCAGTCATGCACCCCCAGAAACAGCCTCAGAACCAGCTCGCTAACCCCAGCCCATCCCAGAACCAGAGACCAGATGCAGAGGTCAGTGTGGACTCAAGTATTATCTATTGATGTTTAGATAATAGAAAATACAAATGTGTGTGCAGTATGCATGGCTCTTACATTTTGCGCAAAAATGGTTTTGCAGTCATTGAACACAGGCACTGTGAACACACAAGAGAGGTGGTCTGTTATGTGTGTGGACTGCAGACATACAGCCATCAGTACAACCGCTATATGTTTGTTGTGCTTGTAATATGCTTCCTGTACCTTGTACTTACTATGCTAACATTTACAATAAGAGTAATTCCACATTATTACCTCCCCGTGAGCATCAACAATATAGTTAGCAACTTCCTAGCAGAGGGCCTGCCTGCACTTTGTCCCACGGGATAAAAGGATGAATTAAGAGAGAGTGATTTATGGATCTGAGAGATCCTGTATCCCTGTGCGGGTGCCAAGTCGAGGGCCTTGCAATCTTTTTTCTCTCCTTCTTTCTTCTCCTAGGCTTACAAGCCAGGACAGACCCCTGTCCTGCCAGAATTTATGAGAATGTTTTCTTTTATACTCATAATAAGTGTACACACATCTCATTCCTGTGAAATGATATCTTCTTGGATGTTGATGCCGCACCACATGAAAGTGGCAGCAGCTCAATAACTTTTTGTAGCAAACAGATTCGCACTGTGGCAGAGGTGCTGCCATAATTAGACTGTTTTGTGTACTCCACAGCAATCAAATCTGTTATGTAAACTTAGAGATTCTTCAAAAAGACCGATGACGGTTGTGTACCTGTATACATGCGTGTGTCTCTGTCGGCATGTCCCTGCATGCCAGCACAAAAGCAACTGTCGATACGTCTGCTGTTTGTGTCTGCGTGCATTTAAACGCGGCGGTGTTGTTGATCCTGTAGTGCTGTGGCAAAGGACAGGCTATGCTATAAGTATTTGGGAGGTCACTGGGGAATTATGTTGGCGCTTGATTAGATCCTGATCAAACTTATCTACCACTCCTTCATGAGTCCTTCAGCGCAGAGACGTCTGCTGACTGCTGCTTTTACTTAACAAATTCTAGGCATCGTAAAAGCTGTGCTCCAAGGTTTTGTATGGCAAAGTTATCAAATTGCGACAACATTTAATTAACAATTTAAATCCAGTGTTAAACGCTACACTTTGTTGTGTCAGTTCTTGCTCTGACTCAGTCAGATCAGTGCAAAGCTTTTTATGGCAGCTTGCTCTCCCTGTCTCCCTGTTTGAATGCACTAATAAAAGCTGGGCGTTTGTATTGAATATTTCGTCATTGTATGCTTAAAATTTGAATAAAAGTTGAATACTACTAGGTCCAGTAATCGGAGATTGGACTGCCAAGGCCTCTGCCTTTGCCACCCACATACCACAGAACTTGATAGACCCTTCTGTGTTGTGTGGGTCCACAGGAGGGCTGGCCTGAAGGGCTAAGGTTTGACCACCAGACTCTCGCTGATAAGCTAGTCCCCCATTTGCTTGGGCCTAACTCCAGGGTAGGGCACTGGTAACCCACTGGGAGGAGCTGGCTTGATGTCACTCTATAAGTGACGGAGGAGGTGGTCAGAGAGAGGGAGGTCTGGGCTTCTCTGCTTAGACTGGTAGTCAGATCCAGCAGAAAAAAGATGGATAGGTGGATGAATCGAGGATGGAGCAATGGATCGATCAATGGAGGAGTGTACTAAGTGCAATAAAATGGTTTTGTGATTCCTCCATTAAAAAGTAAAAAACTTTGTCTGATTTCAATTTGTCTACTGTGCCCTTCATGCTTGTCTCCTTATGTGCTACAGGGAAACCCAGTTCTGTTGGTTCTGACCATTTGCAATTTCACTATGCACAGGGGCCAAACATAAACCTCTGTGTGCAACTGGCCCGCCCTCGATCAAGGATCATCACTTCTTATGACCGCTTTGGTTAACCCCAAACCCCAGAGATTATGTTCTTCAGCAGCCTGAGGAGACTCGACAGGTGCACAGGGACCTTCAAGGGAATAGTGGCCAAATTTGCATTTGTTGTATTTGCTTCTAATAGGTGGAGTCACAATATAAGCTGTTAATATAAGCATCCTTCACATGCTGCGCATTAAATGCTTTTTACATGGTTACATCATTTTATTTCAACCTGACAAACACCAAGACCTCCAAAGATGGACAAATATTTTTTTTCTCGTAGGACAAATATGATTTGCTTCTCAAGCAGCTGCAGAGTTTGTGTTTGTCATCAGGTCATGTACACACAGTGGTCCACTGACAGTATCTGCAGATGCTGGTATTATTGACTCAGTCAAGCTGTTAGCGGAGCTTTTTATCGTGACCTCAGGGCTCTGTTGGCTTAAGTGCATCCTCATCCTCTTCCCATAAAACAGTATTTGTTGATTCCAAGCTTATTAAAGGACTTCTGGAACTAAACACCAGCTCTTCAAAGGAAAGAACCTCGGGGAAGGCAGTGACCTTTTCAGAGCGGGCTGGCTAAAATCTTCAAGGCAGCACCACACCTTAAAAGACTTGACTCTTATTCAAAAGACACGTTTTTCTTTTCAAACCAGGCAAATGTCATATGCTGTCATGTCAGACTCAGTGTTGCTGGGTAGTCTTTGGCCAGGTGTTTAAAAACTCAGCACAGAGTCTGGTGGCTACACATATTTAACATATTTTGAAATATTTACACCCAAGAGACATTTCCAGGAATGATAATAATAATTTGACTGTACATGTAATTGTATCTTTTCTGGCCTTTCCCCACTCATAATATTACAAATTCCTTTTAGACCTACCATCCTCTCAGCCACTGGTTTCCACACTTGTCTGTGTGCTCTAGTGAAAGAAAATAGCATGCTCTGGTCCACTTAGGCCTAAAGCATTTTGGGCTGGGAAAGATGTGGATTGATGTACATGAATGAGTGTTTTCAGCCTCATGTAGCAGCAACGAGGGAAGGACGAGCCGTTGCCAAGATCCTTGATAGTCAGCACACGCATAGTGACAAGTCATGAACTTTATGTACCGTCATAGGCTTATGTGGACCTGAGAATATTCTCATTATAATCATAATGAGCCAATAACATGGTAGCAACTCCAGATCACCTGCTGAAGTTCAAGCTGAGCATCAGAATGGGGAAGAAAGGTAATTTAAATGACTCTGAATCTGGCATGGTCTGAGGATTTAACAAACTGCTGATCTACTCAGGCTAATAAGTAACAGTTTAAAGTTAGTTTGTTAAAAAATCACTCATAAAAAAGTAGAATAGTAAACTAAAAGTACAGACTTTATATAAGTACTGTAATGTTATATGCATTTAAAATAGCTCAACATAACTGATGTTAAGCTCTAATATTGTCTGTATTTGCCAAGAAGAAACGGTAACGTGAACGTTGTCTAAAAATGGTCAAACTAGGAGCTAAATAAATAGAATGTAAATTGTACTGAGGCTAAAAGCTTGGGCTAATGAATAGATGTTAAATAAATCCCTCAGCACAAACTTACCTAAGCACTGACAGCTTGTCTGGATGAAAATAATTATCATAGCAATAACCTCTTTTATATAATAAGTGTTGAATGGGATTCCACTGAAAAAATAACACATTGGAGCACAAGAGGTGACGTTAATGAAAGGGTAGAGTGCAGACCCGCCTGCCAGATGAAAAAGGCTGAGTTACATTGTGTCGACCTTACTTCCTCTGGGAGGTGAAGCGCGTGCCAAAATAACAGAGGTCATTAAATTTGAGTATGATGACTTGGTTAGGATTAAGATATGGTTAGTTTTTGGTTGAGTAGTGGTTGAGGTTAGCGTGAGGGGAACTGTTGGCAGTAGGTGGAAGTAAATGTAATATACTCTGAAGTGGATGAAACATGGCTGTGTGTCTGTGTGTGTGCGCGCGCACAAGTGTTTGTGCACATTCACTTGATGATGTTTAAACGAGTGGCCTCAGCTGTCTCAACAAGTTAAATAACCTTCACAAACACAGTAGACAGAGAGAGGTAAAGACCAGGAGAAAAAAGAAGAAACACAGAGAAAGATAATTCTAGGTTAGAAACTTCCTTTGGGATATTTTTCTCAGAGAATGGTTTGATCAGCATAACTGTGTTCTTTCTTTTTTTCTTTCAGCATTTATTTTGAAAAGAATTGAGATGTTTGGTGGTCTCATAAAATCGCAGCCAAAACAGAGCAAGTATGTAATTTTATAATGATAATGAACTCCTAGCTCTACATGAAAGATGCCCTGAGGAGGGAACTGATAGAAGCCAACCACAGAAAAGCAGGCAGCTAAATTATGAATTGTAACCTAGAATTCAGGCCTGACTTACCTTTTCCTTTTCGGTTCATGCAAGATGATAACACACCTGCTCTTGTATAATTATCAGTGCCAATGATCTAGTCCTGCAGGATGTCACAAGGTTTATTTGTTTATCTACAATTTCTTTTTTTAACTAGGTGAAAACCAAAGTAGACGGGCCACCGGCAGTGAGCCCCACGGTAGGTTCTTTTTTTTGTTAGTGCTAGCTGTTAGCATATTACATGCTAGGCTAACAGCGCTAATAGGTTAAGGCTCAGCTATATTAATATGCTTATAATAAAAGAATTGAAATGTTTTTCTATTTATCTGAACCTGTTCTTTGGTAATGAACCGTAAAGTGTTAGGAAGCCTAAGTGTGAGTGTTTAGCTACGTCTGACAATGATCTGAAGTGGTCAACGTGGAGAATATTTCAAATGCTTTCATGCTGTCTAGGTAGCAGTTCACACATGGTTGTGTTTGTACCTAATGAATCCATTCTCAGCCCCCAATGCTTACACAAACATATATACTCAAAGATCCAAACTACAGAGGAAGCAGTCAAGATGTGTCCAGATATCACAGATCGTCTGAGGGTCCTAGAGCAGGAAGTTGGCCGCTACAGAGAGGAATCCAGGAAGTCACAAGCTGAAGTGGAGAGGCTGATGGGAGCTTTAAAGGATGCCGAGATGGACAAATCCTGCAAGGAGAAAAAAATCTCTGATCTTGAAAGGTGAGGGTTTAAGGAATTCAGTCAGTTTCGTAACAAGTCAGAAATTGTGTGTTCTTAGAGTGTAACCGGATCTGTGTAAGGCCTCGGCTCATTCCTATGTGCTGTATTTATAAAGGGGTAATCCATGAAATATAAACTGTCTAGATTGAGTCGTCCTAGCACTTGAAACCACTTTTATGTTGCCATTCTTTTGGCCTGATGTAATCAGTCCAGAAAATGAATGTGACCTGTTTAAATATCAGTCTAATCATTTGGCTTAATGTCTTATTATTTGTTTTTATCTGTCAATGTCTGCAGACATGGGTAAGTAGATATTTAGTGTGCCCGTTAACCCCACCATCATAATACTGCTCACACTGCCCATGATCATTACGTTGACATCATGCTGTGGTTGCTGGCTCCTTTTAAATTTTCTCAGGTATAAAGTTGGAAATTGGGGGAACTGACTGTATCTGAGCCTCAGGAAGCTTAGATTTGACTGTCTCGTTGGGGCAGTAAATGCATAATCCATTTATGGTCTTCATTCCTGTCACAGTAATAACACAATGAGAGATTTTATATGCTTCCTGTGGAGACATATAGCTTCTCTTTCGTGTTGACGTCTGCAAATCTTCTTTGCACACATTTCAATCCTGTCATCAGTGCGGTCATCTGTGTTTTCTCATATCAAATTATCCATATGTGTGTTTATATAAATGTCTTTGCATTACTTTTGACTACTGTCAATGCATCCTGTGACAGTGTTTGTGTGTGTATGTGAGTGAGCCTTTGAGTTTGCCAGGCAGGCAGCCAGCGGCATGCCAGTGGGAGGTTTTTGTATCCAGCCCAGACACTGGATGTTTATACTACTCTGTTTATTACTGGCACAGTGCTACTCAATTATCATCTGATTTATGGATTGGCATGGTGTGTATATGTACCCAAATGAGTAGTTGTTTAGTGCCAAGGCAGAAGTACAGTATGTTAGTGTTTGTCTGCATATTTATTTCATACAGTGTGTGTGTGTGTGTGTGTGTGTGTGTGTGTGTGTGTGTGTGTGTGTGTGTGTGTGTGTGTGTGTGTGTGTGTGTGTGTGTGGGTGAAAAAGAAGCACAGAAATGTGTACAGAGAATGTTTTTGAGTTTGAAATGTGATATTTAAAGTGGTATTTAGGCGTGTGTCTGTATATGTAGATTAATAGTGAATCAGTCTTTTGGTGGATCACGGGCTGCAAAGATGGGGCATGAGTTTAAAAAAATATGAAAACAATCATTTTTCACACACATTGGCTTCATCAGGTGTGTTAACACTTGTTCTGGTTCTGAATGGCTTGGAATCAGTTTGCATGGGCTGTATGTTCTGGATCCAACAGTTTCCTGCCTCATTCATTACCCATTTTACAGACTGGCTGCTCTGGCATGGAAACCATGCGCTGACTCAAACTCTGTGGGAACTCCTAAGCATCAAGTAATAGGAAAGCAGTAGCTCCTACGGAATTTGTTCACAAACTCTACTCTGTTTTTCCGTGCATCTCTGCAAGAATGGATATTTTTGTTTTGTTTACATTTTTCTGCCATTCACTTGCAACTTTCATGACCTGTTCATACGCATGCTCATCGTACTTGGTGCATGTGCAGCGTCCGTGCATGTGGGTGTGCAGCGATTTCTGGGCCGCGAACGTTTTGGATCGTTGGAACAGTTCCTTTTCCCCTCAGCTCATCCATCTTATTTGGTCCCGCTGTCTCATTAGTGTCAGCCAGTCCCTCCTATCAGCACGAACCCTCACCTCTGGTCGGCATGCACAGGTCAGAGGTCACATGCAAGCCGGCCTGTGAGATCAAGGCCCATTGTAGTCCTGCAGAGTTGCTATGAACACACACAGAATAGTTGTTTGTACAGTAGTTGTTAGCATGTGTGTCTGCTATAGAAAATTGTGGGGCAACAAATCGTGTTAGTTCTCAGTGTACTTTTTGATTTAACAAAGACATTAAACAGAAACAGAAGAATTTTTGCATATGTGTTTCTGCACACGTGTTATATGAACGCATGGGCGGACGAGTGTCTGTGTGCTGATTGGACTTCTGTTGCAGAGCATGCGGAATGTAGCTTATCTGGGCAGAGGATGAATGTCTTTTTAATCAGAGTGTTTCTGTTGGAAGTCAGTCAGATGACCTATTAACCACTATCTGAATGGAGAGGGAGAACAGATGAGGAAATAGACACTTTCTCATCCAGTTGGCAGTGAAGCAAAGAGAGTCAAAGATGGATGGAGCTAACAGGCCATTGTAATAAATACCTTCCAGCACAGGGGAGTCTCACTCGCAGCTTGTTGATTGCTTAGTGATCTACTCTAAGTCATCAGTGATAACATTAGGGTAGTTTATGGGTGACGTTTTATTTACTGTTGTTAGTGTACAGTAGACGTAAAGCTAATCTGCCAAAGTAATCAGTGACATTGAACAGGCTTTGTGGAACGTATCAGCATGTCGTACTAATTCTGACGGATTTGTTAAATAGATCTCTCGCGGTTATAGATCTCTTCAAGCAGTTCGTCTGTGTGTGATGGACTAAAAAACAAAACAAAACAAGAAACCCCCCCAAACATTTTTTAGGACTGACATACTTGGAAGTTAAGAACAACTTGTGGGAATTAAAATACACGAGGTTTTAATTAACTTTCAACATGATGTCAAAGAAGAAACACTGAACTGGAGTGTATGCAGTTTCACAAATTTTAGGAATAAATTGTGGCAGAAACATAAAGCCTTAATTCTTCTCCTTTCCTTCTTGCCTCCTTCACTCATAAACTTATAATATTAATTGTTGGAATTATGTTGTATGGTTTTCTTGATGCTTGGACAGCCCCATACTTTTAAAATTTGGGGGCTAAACTTGAAAAATAAATCAGCCATCCAGTCTCACAGTACCACAGCTACTGACGATGTAAGAACTGTGGTATGTGAGGGAGGGCTGCAGGAAAAGGGAGTCCGTGTGTGTTCGTATGTGTGTGTTTGTGTTTATGTGTGTGAGTCTAAAGTGAGATTGTCGAGTCAAGATGTAAGGAAAGGATGACAAACAAATACATGCGCACACATAAACACATGCATGTCATTTTTGGCTGCATTACTGTGAACATAATCAAACTCCAGGTGCTGATACACACGTTGCCTCTGCTTCTAATAATTATTCATTGATATGTTTGTAAACAGTCGGCTTTTCTAATGCAGGTGTGGGTTTTAAACAATGATTTTGACCTGAAACTTACTGTTAAATAGATGAAATATTCAGCACTGTGAAGAAATCTTGAGCCACCCCTCATGTCTTGATATTTTGTGAAGAAAATGGGAATTAGGTGCAGTGATTACTCTACATTGAAATACAGTATATAAGGCAATTATATAGTTCTAACAAGCTTGAACGTCGGTATTTGGTTTGACTGCTTTTTCAAAACAGTCTGAACTCTTTCGTAGTCTCCAGGAATATTTCTGAAGGACATTCAAAGCTCTTCTTTGGATGTTTCTGCCTTTTGTTCTGTTTTCTGTCAAGATGATCGCACACGGCTTCTGTAATGTTGAGGTCTACACTCTGGGGAGGCCAGATCATGACTGATTGAGCTCCATTGTGTTTTTTCCTATCCAGGTATGCTTTTACTGCATTGTCAGTGTTTTCAGGATCATGAACCTGTTGCCAATCAGATGCTTTCCAGATGCACGGTGGATCAAAACCTGATGGTTCATAATTTCATCAATTTTGACTACAACCCCAACACCACTGTTTGAAAAGCTGCTCCCAACCATGACAGAGCCTCCACCATGTTTCACAGATGTACAATAATCCCTCACTGTTGTACCTCTTTCCTGACCTTCTCCATACATACTGATGAAAACTTGAGCAGAAAATATCACATTTGGATTAATCACTCAATAAGTTGCTGCCACTGATTTTCATCCCAGTTCTTGTGTAATCTGGCATACCTCAGTGTTTCCTCCTTGTTTCCCTTCCTTAAGTATGGCTTATTGACAGCCACCCTTCCACTGAGACTATTTCTGATGAGGCTTTGGCGAACAGTAGATGGATCAAATGAAGGGCCAGAGCATCTCACAGGTCCCATGTCAAGATTGCTGATTTTTGCTGGATTTTCCCTCTTTTTTTAAGGACATGACTATCAGATACTGTTCATCTGCTGTAGATATTTTTCACATGTACCACTCCTTCTTTTGTCCTCTGCTTGACCAGTTTCCTCACTTTTCTTAAGGCGAGAGCATGTCAAACACCATGCTGAGATATGGCAGGTGTTTGGCTAATAGCTGTTTGGGAAACACCTTGTTGGTGCAAAAATACTATTTTGTATCTGTCAGATTGTGTTTTTGGTGTTTTTGTAGGTCAGGCACAAACTGTCCAGGCTGAACTAAAAAAATAAAGAAAAACCTCACTGGCCTGGGGAATAATTGTTCAAGAGCACCTTAAAAATAATAAGAAACTCCGGCTCCTTTGCAGTAACATATAAAGAAATTAGTACTTTTTCACAGTTCTGTAAGCGAGATAAACCCACAGTAGAAGAGGACTATTTTCTGACACACACAGGGAATAGCTGAGTTCAGTGGAGTAAAATGCACATATTCAAATTTAAAAATGTAAACGTATAAACTGTACTGCTTTCTTTCTTTCTTAGACCCCATCACCACACACACCACACTCACACCACACCACACACACACACACCACAACAACGACACTCACACTCACACTCACACACACGCACACGCACTCACACTCACACACACCACACCACACACACACACACACACACCACACACACGACACACACACACGCACACACACTCACACCACTCACACACACACAGCACACGACACACACACAACACACACTCACCACACACGCACACACACATCAGCACACACACTCACACACACTCACACACACACCACACATCACACACCAGCACACACACGTCACACCACACCACCACAGCACACACTCACACCACACACACACACACTCACACGCACACGCCACACACACGCACCACACGCACACGCGCACACACACACTCACACACGCACACACGCACACGCACCACACGCACCACACGCACACGCGCACACACACGCACACACACGCACACGCCACACACACCACACGCACACACACACACACACACGCACACACACGCGCACACACGCACACACACGCCACCACACTCACACACACACACACACACACACACACACACACACAAAAACAAAATATGAGAGAAGTTGAAAATGGCATTATAATCTCAGATAGCATCTGTGTCTCCCAG